GACAAAGGGTGCGCGCCCAGGCAGAGCGGCACCGGCGGCTCTGGCTTGGCTTTGCAATGTCGTTACGCTGCAAGGGTGCAGGGTGAAATGGATTCCCAGCGTTGCAAACCTCCGCTTGTCCGCGTCCCCCCACCCTGCGCTGGCATGCACGGACTTTCTCCCATCACACCCTTGCCACCCTGCCCCGGCATGCACGGACTTTCCCCCCTCACACCCTTGCCACTCTGCGCTGACAGGCACACCCTCTCCCCCATCACTGGAGGAGGGGGGTGGCGCTGGAGAGGAACAGGCCCAGCAGAGCAAGCCGGGTTTAGAGAGCAGAGGGGGTTATTTCCCTCCCCCCCTACCCCCTGTCCCGCCCAGCCCAAAGGTTCTTGGAAAGTGGGGACAGGATCAACTCTCCCTGCTTTCCAAAGTGTTTGCTTTAACAGCTGCCTTTTCTTTATATAACTCCATGCAGGCACGAAAACAAGCCACCCTCCTGAGCAGGCCAGAGGGGGACTGCTGCCTAACTAGGCCACCCTCCGGGGGCCAGGCTGGTTGGGGTGAGGGGTGCCAGCAGAGTGCCCAGCTTTCCCCCTCTGTGTCTACAAAAACAGCTGAGATTTGAGCACATTCAATTCAATTTCATAATCTGGCACCATGGGAAGGGAGGCAGCAGTGACCAGGAATTCAGGGAGGTTGACATCCAGGGGATGGCCAGTATTTTTCCATCCTGCGACCGGTCTGGTCCCTCAGCTCTGCTCTGGCCTCCTCACTTTCCAGCAGATGCATAAGAATCGGGATTCAGAGGCCACAGCAACTATCACACCGAGGCACCACTTGCAATCGATTTGCCTACCTTCCCCCATCACAAGATGCACTGGGGCTGCTCCCTGAGTTGCCTTAAGGGGGGGGGGGGAATGTCTTCGCCCCTTAGAAATCCAAACCCTGCAAAGTACAAAGGCTGAGCCCTGAACTTTGCCACGATTCCCCCCGGCCACCCAAAAAGGAGCAAATACTCTCTCACTTCTTTCAATTTCTACCTCTGTCAAAAAGAGGAAATGGGGTTGCTGCTGCTCCCACCTCTCTGGGCATCCAGGGGGCACCGTCAGCACGGGGGGCAGGCAGGGTAGCACTGCACATCCCTAGTGCTGGCCCCAGTCCGAGGGGAGCAGATCCTCCGTGGGTATAAAGTGGGGCAGTGTCACCACAGCCGCTGGAGCTGTCTATTCACGGGTAGTGTGTGTCCTTTCACAGCCTGATTCCTTCTGGGAAAAGGGATTTACACGAGGAGCCAATTGGTTTGCCCATCAGCTCATACCGAGGGCAATAAGGAGATATTACTTCCCCAGCGGGAGTCCTAGGGCTGGCGCCTACATACCCTCCACATCAGCTGTGCGAGCAATAGATCCAGCATGTGTTTTAGGATTCCAAACCCCAGCAAGAGTCAAGGAACATGCTCGTTGTCAGGGCCATAACGATTATTTGCAGGGCCTAGGTGGGGCTGGGTGGTCCAAGCCTCAGCAGGGGTACCACCCAGTGCCCCGGCAGGTGGGAGTGCAGTTCAGTCCAGCTGTAGCCCAAAAGTGGCCAGGGCTTGGCCTTCCCTGGGGCTACTTGGGCAGCCCAGCTCATTTCCAGTGTGTGATGGCTGGGCGATCTGGGCCTGCTCCCCCTTGAAAACCCGCTCAGGATGCCGGGTGCTGTGCGTTAGGGGACAGGGAGCCCCGCAGATTGGGAAGCTCACCATGCCCTGCCTATTCCACTGGTCCTGATGGGCTTAGCTTGGCATGGGCTGGATTCATAGAGGGGGCTCCGTGGAGCACAGGTGGGGGGACAGCCTCGTGGGCATGTCGGCCGGGAGGGCGGGGGTCACTAGAGCCAGGCTCCTCAAACCTGGAACAGGACCAATAATAAAGCATGGGAACCCATTGCACATGCCTCACACCGACCCTACCAGCAAACCTGACCTCCCCTCCTGTTCACCAAGATACAATTTCCTGCAGCCTAGAAAGCCCAGGTGTAAATGTGGATGCCAAAGAGGGATGCATTAAATCCAGCATACTTGTAACCGATCGGCTTGATGAAAGGATTTGACCCTAACGATTTCACCACCAACAGCACAAGCCTGTGCCACATAAGCTGGAGCACCACAATAGCCAGCTGCCATAAAAAAAAATCCAGCTGCCATAAAAAAAACCCTGCTGCCCATCAAAGCTCTCCTGCAGTGCAGTCAGGAGAGAAGATCCCCACCCTTCTGTTATGGGTTAAACAGGTACAAATACTTGCTACCAGACATGGTGGCAGGGAGGGATAGCCTGGCTATAACTACATTGCCTAATTCCCCCTTGATGCTTGTTTGCTCCTCCTTTCTAACAACTCCATGTCGCTTCTCAGCCTGCACATGCACTTTTGCCCTTCACAGCCACTTTTCAGACATTGATGCCGAGTGGCCTGTTTTACTCCAGCCCCAAACCAGGCTTGGATAAACTGGCACGTTATACTGGAACAGAGGCCAGCTTCAGATTCGGTCATCTGAAAAAAATAGACTCAGTATCTGTTGTTGGGAAGAGATCAGGTCAGTTCACGCCCAAGCCAGCATTCCTGTTGCACAACTGGACTCAGGAGACTGCACCAGAAAGATCAACCCAGGAAATTGGGATGGGGGGGGGTGTTTGTAATTTAAGGTGCATTGGGCCAGGGTTATAGTCAAGTCTGTTTTTTGAGGGCTGCAGTGGCAGCGCATCAGGAAAATGCTAGCTTGGATGGCTAAAGTGTGTCTGAAATAGACCAAGTAGTAAGTTACGAATGAGCTCGGTTTATTGATGCCAATAACCCCACCCGCACACTTCAGTCTATTTTAAATCTCATTGTTTTCTAGATTTCAGTTCCAAAGTGCTAGGGCAGAGGTGCGGAGCCTAAGGCCTGGGGGCCGGATGTGGCCCCTGGGTGGCCTGGATCTGGCCTCTGAGGCTTAGGGCCTCCCCCAGCATTGGGGAGTCCGTGCTGGCACTCCAGCTCCCCTCCACCACCACTTCCCTGCAGCCCCTGACTGATTTTTCTGTGGGTCAGTGGCCCCCACCCCAAAAAGGTTCCCCAGCCCTGTCCTAGTGTTTGATTAGAATGATCAGAAGATTCCAGGGTTAAAAATCACTTCACGCATCACCTGGTGTTTGTAGTTGATTT